ATATATATATATATATTTATTTATTTATTTATTTATTTCCTGTTTTCATTTAGTTCTATTTACATTTTTGGCCATTTTTTGTCATTTTAAATAGTTTGTATTTTTTAATTTACAGTTTTAGTTTTAACCATTTTTATGTAAGTTTGCTTCTGCCACGGGATAGAAAATAAAAAAGGTAATTATATCGCAATTCAGACTTTTTTTTCTCAGAAATGCAAGCAGTGAACTCAAAATTATGAGATAAAAAACTTGAATAACTGGAATTTTATAACTCTAAGCAGCTCTGATAAGAAAAGTCTGATTTGTGGGATATAAACTCACTACTGCAAGAAAAAAGTTCCATGAAGTTGTGCATAAAATTTACCTTCCCAGATTCAGAAATGCTCTGGAAAGCTCAGATTTAATAATTGTTAATGAACTCCAGCCATCTGTAAAATGAGTGCACTTGAATGCTCATTTACAATTAGCATAATCCCACCCATTACCTGCAACTATGTGGATTATGTTAATGGAATTTACTACTGTTGTTATTTTATATATTGTTATTGTAAATTGTGTTATCAGAATTCACTCTCATTAGTTTGTCTAGGATTCACTGTCACTCTGATGGATGTGAATGTTGTTTGATGAAGGAGTCTTACACTTCGTCAGGCATGTACTCCAAATCCTCGTCCACGTCTCTCTTGCGTTTGCGCATCGTGTCCTCGTTAGGCAGGAAGTACGCCACAAACTGATTTCCTTCCTCGTCCATCATACCCCTGAACACACACACGCACACACACACACACGCGCACGCACGCACGCACGCACGCACACACAGAGAGAGTTTTGAACTCAGCATCATCAGGTTGGCTTGATATCAGGCCTGTTTTGCAGAGCGTGTTTCTCAGGATGCAGGCTGTGACGAGCAGTGATCTGAAGTGAGGATGCACACACACCTGATCATGGCCTGTGACATCATGTCCACCCCCGCTGGTGCAGAAACATCTTTAGGCGCCGGATCAGAATCAAAGATGACTTGAGCACACGGATTAATCCACATCTGTGAGGACAGACGGATGAGAGACGGACAGATATGAGCATTGGCACAGCATGTTTGTGTGTGTGTGTGTTTGTGAGAGAGGGAGACCTTGAAGTCTGGGAAGACGGGCAGAACCTCCACCGGCGTGACTCTGGGTTTGCTGTAATGCTGGGCAATCTGGAAGATTCCAACAGAAGAATGAATCAGAAACACATCAGAACGACACTGATGTCACGTGTGTGTGAGTGTGTATGCGTGTGTGTGTGTGTGTGTGTGAGAGAGAGTGTGTGTGTGTGTGTGTGTGTGAGAGAGAGAGTGTTT